TTTATCTCAATAAAAATTTAATAATAAAAAGTCATTTTAATTAAAATTTATTAAAAATTTTACTGAAGGCATATTAATTATTCATTATTATAACATTTGATTTATCAAGAGTATTTTAGTCGATTACTATTATCATTTTTAGAGTTCACACTTTTATATATAGATAATATACCCTACGGTACACTTCATGACCACCTCCATGGAGGGCTTTCTCCCCTGAGTTGGAGCCCTTGTTTGAAGATATCATTGCAGGCCACGAAGGGACTTGAATACCTTCACAAAGAAGTTGTGCCTCCAATTGTCCATCAGGATGTCAAGAGTTCAAACATTCTTTTGGATTCAGATTGGGCAGCACGAATGGCAGATTTGGACTTCTCATATCAAGTGAGTGAGACCTTGATCTCAGTGGAGACATGAAAAGTGATGTTTACAGCTTTGGGATTGTTCTGTTGGAGATACTCAGTGGAAGGAAAGCTTATGATAGAGATTATGCAACTCCAAATATAGTTGATTGGGCAGTTCCCTTAATTAAACAGCGACAGACAACTGCCATAATTGATTGCTATACAGCTCTTCCTAGAAATGTTGAACCTTTGCTTAAATTGGCTGATATAGCTGCTGAGCTGGCTGTCAACGAAGATCCTACTGGGCGTCCTATCATGTGAGATATGGTAAATTTGTTGCAGCAAATTGTGAAGGATGGATGGTCTTGTGATCTTGGCTCCCCTAATTTTTGTGCAAATCAAATGAAGAGACTAGAGAAGTGCATAGCTATTTGGCAATTGTAAATCAGCTTCTTGTACGTGAGAATGGGAAGCAATGGATCATTAAAATCCATGAAGTGAAGAAGATTTTTTTTTTCCACTCTAAATTTTTTTCCTTATGGAAGTTCTTACAATCATTTAGGCCTTCCATGTAACATTTGACATTTATTCCTCCCTGTATTTGATTTTGTGAGGGAAATGGAAGTCTTTGGTTTTGGTATGATCACATTGTTTATTTCTTCAATTCTCACTTTCATTGAATTTGTCAACCTATCAACTAAGAACACATTTCATTCTGCAAACACAAACATGACTAAATAATGAATATCACATAATCGGATCAATGTCAGCATCGATTTGCTAAATGTAAAAACTGTCATCAACGTTATGCGATGGTTAAGTATATCTTCTGCTATCCATGCTTTGAAATTTATAAGTTCATCTGAAATATGCCTGGGATGGCAAGTTTCAACAATACATATTGATTGTCACAAAAAGCAAAAAACAAAGCAGAAAAACTAACAGTACTGTATATTTTCACTGGATTGCAGTTCTGGAACTTTGGAAAACAAAAATAGTAGTATATATTTTTTAGTCCAGCAACTACTTTTTTCGTCCGATTCTTTCTTCTTTATCTCCTAATTGTAACTACACTTAGTAATTTTTCTTCATCTATATGATCCATATCAATTTTACTCAAACATAGATTATAGGAGGTCTTTTAAAAAAAAAAAAATCGCCCTTCATTTTCGGTTGGGGTCTGGTGTATTTTGAAGGTCCATTGAATAGGAGAAAAGATTTTGATGTTCTATCCTAATATTGACTTTACCCTACTGTATATATCCTTCTATTCAATCACATTGCTTTAAGGGACCACCTAGGATTCAACTTAGATATTCTTTTCCTACCATGTCTCTGATCCCTCTAATGCAGGCGGGCCTTTCATAGGTGCCATCAGTCATTACTTGAAAGTTAAAAGGGTATCCCTGAAAGCATTTTAATAGTTCTCATGATAGAAAAAAATATGTTCTTTTCCATACTTTTTTACTGTTAGAAGCATCTGGATTTTATTTGATTGACTATGAATTATGATCATGAAAAACTTATCAGAAACTAGACTTTCTGAATACACAATTACTCTATGAAATGATGAACAATTTTGAAAAAAAAACAATAATAATCTGCATGAAACCTAGTAATAATTGCAATACTCTATTTCTCCTATGGGTTTTTACTCTTAATCATCTGCCTGTGTATGATGGCTAAGGCATTAGCCATTAATCATGATATCTCCTATCAGCGTTTTTAGTAATCTTAATAAGAAATGTAGTTCACGCATGAATGTAACCACATTATATGAAAGGACTGGCAATACTGTAGTTACAAGAAATGTACTTATATTGCCTGTCACAATCAATTATTTGATTTCTTCTCTCAAGTGGGGAAGGACTTAGTCTTTTTTGGTTAATGCTGTGTTTACGTAGCTGTTTTAGTTAATTAAATAAAAGAATTTCCCAAGAAAGAAAGGAGATAAAGAGAGCGGGGTTCCGAGGGAAAGAGGACGAGAGAGCAGAATCTGAGCAGAGAGAGAGTCCAAGGTCAATCCAAACACAAAGGTCGTGCCAACTTTTGAAAGCGCTAAGCCCTGGCTTCTGACAAAAGGAGAAGGATTCCAGCAGTCGCAGTTCCTTCCAACCCCAAAAACGATAAAAATGTAGTAGTTCTTCCTTTCAAGTTTCAAGACACAACAGTTTATGCGTCCCCTATGTTACGTTCACTGTTCTCTTCTTCAATTAAGGAAAGGAAAATGGAATTTTGCAGCCTTTTGGCAACATGTCACTAGATATATACTCTCAGCTGATCCTAAGGGAACTTTCTTCCAACACCTCTTGGAAGATCGAAATAGATGTTGCATTGCATGAATTTGTATTTGTTTATTTCATATATAATATGTAAAATAGTGTTATAATTTATGTTAACATGTCAAAACATAAAACATAATTTTTTTGTCATATCTGTTTTTGTTAAAATTTTAAATTTTATCATTTTCATATATTTTTTAATACTGTTTTCATATCATTTCATCACGTGGTGTTTAAAATATACAGATCAGTGGCATTCAGAGTAGCAGCTAGGAGACTAGAGTAGCAGCTAGGAGACTAGCAGTTGAAGGAATTCGCTTCATCAATATCATGGCATCAAATTGGAGATGTTGAAACCAAATACCCACTGTGTACGTATGGGTAGGGAATGCAAGGGAAAGCTGTAGGGAAGAAGATGAGACAAAGGTACATGAGAGAAATGAGAGAGAGAGGGAGATGTTGTTTCAACACCAGGTGTATAGGTATGGGAATCCAAGTCATCCAAGCACTCCCAGACAAATCAGTTTCAGAATTGCAAGAGAACCTTTGCTTTATGATCTATACAAGACGAAAAAGTAAACAAAAACCAAACAGTCAGGCTCAGTAGTATTACTATTTTTCCTACCTCTTCTCATTCTTTCTCTTCAACCTAACAGCTTCCTTCTTACTCTTTCTAAGTCACCTCAAAAACGCTACTATCTTCACTAAGTTTAGAGACAAAAGTAGGAAAAAAAGTGGCCTTTCAGGTGGAATGATATGCCTTAGGCTTGTGTTATAGCTATTAGCTATATGCCAAATTGACAACTCAAAAGCAAGGGATGTATGTTTCCAGGGAAAACAAAGGGGTAAAAAAGGAGGCATGGGGGCGGTCACCTTGAAGGGAACTTGATTATGACTGATTGGAAGTGTATCCAAGATATCTCTCTTCTTTTCCCTTCTTTTGACAAGATAACTCTTTTCCTTCTGTATAAATACAGCCCCTTGCTTCCTTCTCCAGTGCATCTTCTTAACCTGAATAGTTTTTGTTCATTTTCTCTTAACAGTTCTCATGTATATGTATATATATACTCATGCTTGAGCATTGAACCTGCCAGCCATGTGGTGATTCTTCAGTGTCAAAGTCACCACTGTTCAAGCATAATCATCATATGGTTTTGGAACTTAAAAGTAACGGGAAGTTTATATTTAAGTACCTCAATGTATATAGATAGACACAGTTATTGATCCATTCATTTTCATATTCATATCATCATGCTTGCATGTATTAATATATGCATATTTTGCATGCCTGGCTCCCTGTATGCCATTTGCAAAGCCCATCGAGAGTACGGTGACCTTCGTGGATGGCATGCGAGGAGCCATGCATGCATACTGCTGTCTTAATCAATGGAGGCTGATGTATAGATTTCATTCTAAGGTCAATATAATTTCTAGGGAGAGAAGTTGGGATTTCCATAACAAAATGAGCTTTAGTCCTAACGCTCTGAAGAACTTTGCAGGAGTTAAAGGACACAGGTAAAATCTTCTGAGAACTCTTGGATTAGTTCTTTAGTTTTGCTTTTGACCAGTTCTTTTCTCATCTTATACTGCAGAAGGGAGAATTCTGATGCCAATGATACTTTCAATTTCTATTTTCCTCATTCCCAAGGTATGAAAACGAGTCACAACTCACAATCTCGGACAGGCACATCCACTTACATAATAACCTCTCTGGTTTAAATTTATTTGTGGTATCTGGTGCTACTGGTTGAGAATGTTAGAACGAAAATATGAAATTATTACTTTCAAAAAATCTGGCATTTTGAGAAAAGACTTTAAGATGTGTAACAATACCACTTTTTTTTAAGGTTTTATTTGACTTTATAGTATTATTTACTATTAAGTGTGCAAAAGAATTAAAGGGATAAATTTTGAAAATATAATGAAGTTCAATGATTGATTGTATTTTGTATTAACAAAATTAGTTCCTAGAATATTTACTGATGTATTAAAAGATCATCAAACTTCTATAAAAAATTTTACAAACAAATTTTATAAAAGAAATTTGAAATTTATTTAAAGGAAAGAAATTCCATAAATTGTTTTTGTAATTTTTTTTAGAAAACTAAAAGAGTTTATATAGTTAACAAAATATTTTTTTCATTTTATAGATAAAACTGTCTATTTTGAATAGACAACAGTTATCTAATTTTTAATAATTAAAACTGTTTATTTGAATTGATTTATATATCTATTTATTACGCGCAAGTGTCAAATGTCATTAATTAAATATATTAATGTAAGACCAACCATATTTGAAAATCCAAATTCATTTTTTGCACTTTTAACTAATATGATTTATATTTATCTTACTTTAAATGACTTCCTTTTTTTTTTCTTTTTTTAATGTGGAATTAAAATTTCAAACAGAGAATGCGGTAATTATATCACAAAATTCATCTATGCAAACTACAATATACATTTTAATCTAAAAACAATGTATACGGTACATGGAAAAGGGTTATTTTTCTATATTTTTTTCTTTGTACAATATTTTCAGAACTGTATTGAAACTGTTTGAATGGTATGCCAAGCAATCATTAATATTCTCTAGGGGAACAAAAAAAGTGATAAATAAAATTGGTTCCTCTTTGAATTCCTTTACTTCTCTGTTGAGAGTCCTCAACCTCAGAAGAACAATAGAGCCAACAAGCAAGTCAAGAATATGAACTAAGGGGACTATGCGTGCTTTCCAAGCTTGAGACTTTAGAGGAAAGGCTCGGAAATGTGGTCTTTTGTCCTAACTTGATATTCATCAGATCAGCAACAAGACCAGGTTGTGAAATCTGAACTCCTTCGATGTCGATGTCGTTAGTCAACATTTTCAGGGCTTTTGACATTTCTGGTCGGAGCCCGGCTGTTTCTTGAACGCAAAGGAGGCCCACCTTGATGAATCGAATTGCTTCTTCTTCAGGATAGTTCATACCTACTGTAGGATCCACCAATTGCAGAATGCTGTTAGCCCTGTAGATTTCCCATGCCTGCTCGTGTAGACACATAAAGTCAATATGTCAATAATTTATTCTCAGAGAATATATGTATATATGCTGAAAAAGAATTGACAAGCTTTAGTTTTTCTTCATCAATGTTGGATTCATGAATAACATTACCTTTTGAACCAGGTAACGTTCACCATGCTCTAAATCAAAATTGACAACAGTCTGCCCGCTGATAATTTCCAAAAGTAGCACCCCAAAACTGTAAACATCTATTTTTCGTGTCAAACGTCCACTGATGGCATACTCAGGAGCAAGATAGCCTCTATCTCATTTGCCATTGCAAGAAATTCCATTAGCCCGTGGTACTTCAAGGAGCATAAATTTTTCAACAACATAAGAGAGATTCATGAAGGTTATGGGAAAGAACCAGCAATTTTCACTTACAATGTGCCCGCGACATGAGTACTAATGTGAGAAGCATTATCTCTAAAAATTCTTGAAAGACCAAAATCTGAAACTTTTGGCATCAAATTCTGATCTAGAAGAATGTTGCTAGCTTTAATATCTCTGTGCACAATGTGAGGCTCAACTTCCTCGTGAAGATAGGCAAGCCCTCGAGCAACTCCTAATGAAATAGCTCGCCTTGCTTCCCAACCAAGTTTAATCCCGTTTGTCTCTCCACCTATTAATGGAGAATACATATCAACCAAAATTGTCTAATATAAATCTATTGATTTGTTCAGTATCTGATGAATTCTGGGCATTGAATATTGTTGAATACATCAAATGACATTTCTATAATCTGAATTGTAATATAGGGAATGAAATGAGTAGACTATCAAACTGATAAAAAAGCTAACCTAGTAATATCTGCGCCAGGCTATTATTTTCCATGTAATTGTAAACCAAGAACCTGTTTGCTCCATTCACGCAGCAGCCCTTAAGTGTAACAAGGTTTTCATGTTTAAGTTTGGTGAGTGTAGTTATTTCAGATACAAACTCCCTTTCCCCACGCATCGATTCAGGTTCAACTGAAAGCATTTTCACAGCCACAATAGACCCATTTCTAAGCAAGCCCTAGATGGCCAAACCAAAACTTACATCAGCTGATCAGCATTAGTTTAAGAATATTAACCAGAATTCTTTGTACAAGTCAAAGAAGTAACCTTGTAGACAGAACCAAAGGCACCTTCCCCGATCTTGTTTGAAGCAGAGAATCCATGAGTGGCAACTTTCAGCTCACTATAAGAGAAGACAGTAAAATTCTGATCATTTTCTCCTTCAGCTTCTGTATATGCATAAACAAAAAGTAACTAATGTTGAATACAGAAGAAAATTCAATCTTGAAAACCAAAACTAACTCTTTAACCTTTGCTTCAAAACAAACATAGTCAAAGGTCCAAGAAAGAGAAAAACACCCAACATTTACCCCGTCCTCCTATATCGATGATGGCGGTTTCTGATGCAGAAGAAAAACAATTTGAGAAACAGGAAGTGAACTTCATGTCTTTGGTCTGCCTGGAAGTGGAAACCTCAAATTTCACCCCCCCCCCCTTTTTTTTTTTTTTAAGAAAGCTCAATTCAAAAAGTCAGAAATATGGGAGGAAAGTATGCCGGTGCCCATGTACAAAAAATGGAGGAGAAACGAGAACACATGCTTTAGCCTTCAAGCCTGAGGATTTTGACTTCTTAAAACTTAGACTTTGGACTTTGTCTCCGGGGAAAATTTTTTAAAATCTCAAAAATTAATATTAGTACTCTATTTTTTCCTATGTAATTGGTTGGACAAAACAGACAAGATGAAACAGTAAGTTGATGGTGTCGGTTGAACTATAATAAGACCCGAGAAAAATGAATTTGATTTTGACTTTACAAGATTGAAACAGAAAAGAAGACCCATCTACATCAACCCACCAACATGGACTTAAGAATATCCAAAGCATTTACAATTTCTGAATCCAATAATTTTTTGGATTTTGGAAGCCTAACCCAATTAATGGAGACAAAATATCTATCAAGTAATTGACTAATGACAATTATCAGAAAGTATATTGCTTGGAGAGAGCCTAACCCAACCAAAAATGAAGAAAAAAATACCTTCGGAGACCGTTTAATTATGGTCCCACTATGATTAGTCTGTATAATATATATTTCTTCTTTTTTTTTTTTAAATCTTTGTTTATTTGATTTCAAATTTTCAATATTTCAACAGAATTAGCATAGTGAATTTATATAATTATTTTTTTAAAATGATATACTAACATTTAGTAAGGTTTGAATTCAACATTTGGGAGTTTTTACTCTATCTTCACCGACTTTTTTTGTAAAAAAAAAAAAAAATACGCCTTATCCTTTAAAGAAAAAAAAAAAGGAGTAAATAATTGAGAATATTATAGGCCAAAAAAATAATTGGGAATATTTATTAGTCCGAATAATATAGTTTCTCATCCTATGGAGTAGCTTAAACCCTACCCGTTTAACTCAATTAAAAATTTTCAAAAATTGAATTAATTTATTTATATATTTTATATATTATCAGTAAATAAAATTTATATATTATCAATAAATTAAATAATGACAATTTATTAATAAGATGAATTTGATATAATACTTTATTAATGAATAAATTATTTTAATTTATGTATATTTATTTTAATAATTAATATTTACTTATTAATGAATTATCATCGTTTGATTTACTAATAATGTGTCAAATATATCCAAACTAATTTTCTAAAATCGTGTTGCGTGAGTCTTTAGGAAAAGATAGCATAAACTTCTAAAATCTAATAAAGTCTAGAAGGATTCTAATGTAGGCGTTGCAATTTGAGGGTTTTCTGATTTTCAAAGCCCTAAATACCAGGGTTCCTCCTGCGGTAGTGTTAATTAGCCTGACTGATTCAAGCTTTCATTTTGTTGAAATGGTATGCAAAGCTTAGCATTGTTTTAGGAGAGACAAGTTACTCAATAAAAACCATGATTCTAGAATCAAGGTTGCTTTGCTTCAAACATTATAATGTTGATTTTTTTTTCTAGTTTTTTAGTCAAAATAGTTTGTTTTTACCCACTTTAATCTCACGTTTATAAAACAACTATGCCATTTCCACTCATTTCCTTCTCGATTCAAATTGAAGATAGTGAAGTAGAAACTAAAAGAGTTGCATTGCATCAAATAAATAAATAAAAGAGTTGCAAATGTGAGAATAATTTCATTTTCTATTTCTAGCTTTTGCTAAAGAATTGTATCTCCTTTTCCCTTTCCACCATCCAAGACATTATACCTAAAAAACATTGGCATTAATTAATGGATTTCAAGCTCTAATATCAAGCTTTAGCCTATATAGCTTGGATTGTGTAAAAAAAAAAAGGGGGGGTGGTTGAGAGCTTATTCTTCCTTATCTAAAACATGTCAAATATGAGATCTTTATTTAATTAAAAAGAGAGAGAAAAAAATATCCTACTTGAGTAAAAGATGTCAAACTTGAGTTTTTAACATAGCCACTATCAATTATCGAATCCCAAATGTTGAATTCAATTTTGTGCTTATTCAAGAAATTGTTGAATCGAACTTGGCTCAATTATTAAGTTGTTAAAAACAGCTGATTTCAAAGTCATGTACAAACCAATACTACAATTCAAGTATAATACTCTATCCCAAATGATAATTGCACTAAAATACTATCAAAGCCCATTAATTTATTTAAGGGATTGATTAGAAAAAAAAAAAAAAAGCTGGTATACATTAGTAAGAGGGAAACTAGCAGCCCTTTGTTTGACGTAAAACAAAAATAAAATAGAAGAGAGCTTATCCACCTTATCTTGTTTGAGGTTTAAGAGTTTGAAAAATTAAGTTGGAATAAAAAATGAGAAATTATAATTGAATTAATCTCTTAAAGATGAGTTTAAAGTTTTTTTTTTTATTTGAAAAAAAATACTACGTAGAATGCTAACTTTTGGTATTGAAGCTTATGTGATAAAATCTAAAAAATTCATGAAATATCTCACTAATTTCCATGATCAATATAGGTAAATTATTGGATTTTTTTCTTTCATGATATTAACAGTTAATAATGATTATTAAGTAGGTTTTAAAGAGTGAAAATGGGAGATTTGGATTTTTAGAGATTAAAAAATAAATTTTGTTATTGGGTGAAACATTATTGTTTATAGCAAAGAATTAAACCAGATTTATATGTTAATAATAATTAGGTTTTCATTATGAGTGTTATATATTGTTAGAAAACTTGCTAAATTTAGTTTTTAATGAGACAAATTAGAGTCAATTTCAAATTTTTTTATGAAAAATTATCTAATATTTTATAATATCCCAGCCTAAATGATAATTAGGCTAGACTATTATCAAAGCCCATTAGTTTAATTAAGAGATTAATTATTAAAAGAAATGATTGAGATATTATATGAGAGAAAATCTAGCCATGTTTATTTATCATAAAATAGAAAAAAAATGAGAGCTTTTTTCCCTCATCTTCTTAAGAATTAGAGAGTTTGAAAAATTAAGTTGGGGATCCAAAAATTAGAGGCTCCAATCAGATTAATCTCCTAAAAATGAGTACATGCTATCTTTTTATTATATAGATTGTTATTATTTAGAGTTGAAGCTTATGAGAGAAAAACCAAGAAAAATTATGAAATATTTTATTAATCTTCATGATCTATTTAGGTAAATTATTGAGTTTTATTCACTTCATGTTATTAATATTTAATAATGATTACTGAATGGATTTTAAAGGCTGAAAATAGATATTCGGATTTGTAAAGATTGAAAGAAAAATTTTGTTTATAGATAAGATACTATTATCTGCAACAGTGAATTAAATGAAATTCTGTACTAATGGATAAATTATTAATATAAGTATTATATATCATTGGAAAGCTTATTAACTCTACTTTTCAACTAAACAAATGGAAGTCGATTTTAAGATTTTATAAAGAATTGTCTAATTTTTAGTTAAAGAATATGCAAGCTGCATGGCAGCAGCATCAGTGATGAATTATGAAAATTATCTTAAATTTTATACAAAGAATTATGGATTAAGCCATATATGTTTGAAAAGCTTATCGAGTCTACTTTCTAATCAAATAAAAGGAACTGAAATCCAAGTCTCCTATGGATAAATATATAATTTTTATTAGAAGATATACATATTGTTTGGCAGTAGCATATAAGATGGATTTCAAAAATTATTATAACTAATCTACAAGGAATCACAAGGTAGGCCATATATGGTTGAAAGCTTATCAAGTCTGATTTCTAATGCATTATAAAGATTTTAATTTTGAGTTATATATCTCGAAATAGGATCGTTTTAGGGAAAAGAGTTCAGGCTTTCAATATTAATTAATTGAGTTAACCCTTGTATAATTTAGTTATTTTTAGTATAAATAGTCTAAAAAAAGATTGATTAATTTCTAATATGTTGAAATGATCTTAATTAGGCCATTAATTATTTTGAAAAAAAATTAAGTTGTAAAATCGAAAGGAAGTAAGTAAAATCTTACACACTTTGCTTGTTTTCGAACTTATGTATATATGAATGTTTCTAAGTGAGTAAATGTTATATATATATATATATATATATGAAAATAAGATCCAACATATGATTATTTTGTGTTTTGCTATGTAAATGATGGATCATGCTTATGAATGAAATGTTAAAAGGATTTATACTTAAATAACGATTTTATGGTAGCTATAAAATTATATCTTTGAAAAGTGGGACCATCAATACCAGAACTAGTTTTACAATCTTGGTTGATAGATTATAGTAGTTAGCATAGATATGATCATACGATCCTGACTAATAGGTTATAATAGTTAGCATAAGGCCCTGACTAACGGTTATAGTAGTTAATAATGATCATGAAAATAAAATTGTTAATACGATCAATGTCACAGGTGATAGCAGTGACCGTAACTAATTGTGAACTAATTATTTATAATGACTTGTGATGACTTTAAAGATTGATTTACGATTTGGTTTGATTACAATATTTGAATGACAACATATTTTCAATAATTTATTAATTAACATGTTTTGATATTGATTTATAAATTTACGAAATGCTTGACATAATGATGATCTTTAAAATGTTTTGACATTATGATTTGATGGGTTTTTTAAATGATCCATATGGTATATATGAAAATAATACCTAATAAGATAAGGTGTTTAAGCCTATACTTGCTAAGTTGTGGTTTACTCATTCCCTTTTTTCTTTCTCTCTATAGATGATATGAATGATAATTATGCTTAGTCTTGTGATGAGCTAGAAGAATCTGGGCTTTGAAAACATTATTTAGCAAATTGGATTTTATGAACTATTGTTTTTTTTCAGTTGTATTAGACAACAATGACAATTTAGAAACTTGTTATTTAGTTGGATTACAGATATTAACTTTTATTTGAGAATTTTTCAATGATTATAGAATAAACTTTGTATTGCCTTAGGATTTTACTTCAAAGTACTATGGCCATATTATGTCTCCATCTCGTTGCATCACAATTTACTTAAGGTTTGCAGGTTGTCTAGTAGTAGCAGAGATGAAATATGAAAATTCTCTTAATTTTTATACAAGGAATTATGGATTGAGTCATATATATTTGAAAAGCTTATTGAGTCTACTTTCTAACTCATTAAACAGATCTTGATTCCAAGTTATATAACTAAAGCTATGAGAA